GACAGCAGGGCGTTAAGGTGCGCCAACACAAACAGCCAAATATGGGCAGTACCTGGGCAGCTCTCCAGGTGGAAGAATCCCAACAAACAGAGTAGAACAAACATGTCGTGCTGTTATAATCGTACTTAAATAGACGTTTCTGAGATCAAGATGGGTAGCCATGTTAGTCTGTCTGCAGCGGTAGAAAAGAGCAAGAGTCCAGCAGAACCTTCAAGACTAAGAACTTCTGTGGTGGAGGATGAGATTTTGTGAGTCACGGCTCGCTTCTCAGGTCTGCTTGTTCTTCAGGTATCCAGAAAGGGAGCCGTGACTCACAAAAGCTCTTACCCTGCCACAAATCTTGTTCATTCTGAAGGTGCTGCTGGACCCTTAGACGTTTATTTAGCATTCTTAGGTCTTCCTGTCTGGTAACTGCATAAATGCTGTCATGAAAATATAAGTTCTGTTTAGAACAGGGCTATTTTTGGGCAGGAACGCACAGGAACGGAGTTTCGGCTGGCTCCCAAGTTGGCCACGCCCAGCAGGAACTCATTAGCATAATAGGCCACACTCAACAGCATAAACTCATTAGGATTGGCTACAATTAGGGGTGTGTGGCCTAACATGCAAAGGAGTTCCTGCTACAAAAAAAGCCCTGGGTTTTGACAACAGACAAGGTAAACAGAATAAGAAGCAAAAGGTGGGTGTGGCTGGATGACCACACTTCTGGTAACATGGGTGTGGCCTAATATGCAAATGAGCTGTGCTGTCAGGGGTGTGGCCTAATATGCTAATGAGTTCCTGCTGTTGGGTATGGCCTATGGTAATGAGTTCCTGCTGCACTTTTTCTACAAAAAAAGCCCTGGTTTAGAAGAACTTGAGTCAGGCAGGGGTTTTCTCTTTCTAAATGGGGGTGGAAATAAGTATCCGGGGTGGAAATAACTATCTTCCGCATTGTCATTTCTGTCACTCGTCTGCAGTGTGTCCCTCTAAGCTGAGTTAGCGTGAGCCAGCTCACAGTTCTTTAGCCTCCGGCTCACACATTTTCACCTTCGCTCGGGAAGGAGGGCTCCAGAGCAAACTAACTTATGCAGCCGGCAAATCGCTCGCTCACAACTTGAATGCCAGTAGCACATAAAGTAGAATTTTTGCTCACGAGACTCCACAGATTAGAGGGAGCACTGCTCGTCTGTCCATATTGCTTTGGGTCCCCCCCCCTCCCCTTTTCCACGTGTGTTTCGCTCCCTCTGGGACTACTAGAGAGAGCAAAACACATTGGGGGGGGGACCCTGAAGCAATAGGGACAAATGAGTTACAAAAAACGACAATGTGGAAGAGGACGCAGCCAACTTATGGTGGCCCTTGGGGGGTTGTCAAGGCAAGAGACCTTCAGAGGTGGTTTGCCATTGCCTGCCCCTGCAGAGCAACAACCCCGGACTTCCTTGGGGGTCCCCCAGCTGAGAACTGACCAGGGCTGACCCAGCTTCGCTTCCAAGCCCCCCAGGTCAGGATCTCTTTCTAAACTCCCTCGTGCAAATTTACATATGTCCCTCTTCCCAGTCTTGAGCAAAACCTCGGTGGGTCCTTTAGGGTTTAAGTGAGAGAACCGTCCGCAACATGTTTTCCTTTCCCCCAAAGGACTAAAAATAGCCGGGCACTCCGTGCTTCAGGCGCGCCTCAGCCTCATGCACGCACCGCACACCATGAAATTCAGACGCGACCCACTGGACGCCAGCGGGATTACACATCCTTTCACCCTAGCAGCCCCGCTGACTTTTCGGAAAGTCACAAAACCAGCTAGGCAGCCTAGCCTAACCGCATGTCAGCTAGAGAAGTTGGGGGGGGGGGACCCCAACAAGGTTCTCTGATAAAACAGACTTCGAACGCAAAGTGGTCCAGGCTAGTGCTTTTGGCAGAGAACGCTCACGTCAGCTATCCTGAGCAAAACATTTAGATGCCTCTCGGTCCCATCGCAACGCTACAAGAACAGGATGACCGCTAGTTCAGTGGTGGCGTACCTGTGGCACGGGTGCCAGAGGTGGCACTCAGAGCCCTCTCTGTGGGCACACGTGCCATCGCCCCAGCCAGGCCCAGACCATCATTAAAGTGTCGAATTCTCTGCCAAATAATGTTAAGTAAATGAAAGCATTTGGATTGCTTTCCTTACTTTGTTTGGATCATCTTAAATTAATGCATGAGTTGTTTTTTTCTTAAGTAAAACCTCTGTATTCAGGTTAAATTGCCGTGTTGGCACTTTGCGATAAATAAGTGGGTTTTGGGTCGCAGTTTGGGCACTCGGTCTCTAAAAGGTTCGCCATCACTGCGCTAGTTCATACGGGCCAGCCCTGCCCCCTTCAGCCAGCTCGTTCTCCCTGTTCTAAAATCACAACCCCCCCATAGCAAATATCCAAGTGCCTCTGAGCACGTGCAAAGGCCCTTTCCCGAGCGAAACAACCACAAAAGAGTCCCTGCACATAAAATACTAAAGGGAAACGTTCATGCTTCACAGGTGGACACTTGGGGTTGCCAGCTCCAGGTTGGGAAATTCCTGGAGATTTGGGGGCGGGGGCTGGAAAGAGCAGGGTATAATGCCACGCGGTCCACCCTTCGGCCCGCCCAGAAGCTCTCCTGTCCCCTTAACAGCCGAGCTGTAACTCATCCTTTAGCACGTAAAAAAACCCTGAAAATATACAGGTTGCCAACTCTGGGCCAGGGAATTCCTGGAGCTCTGGGAGCAGAGTCTAGGGAGGAAACGCAGCAGGGTATAATACCTCAGAGCCCACCTTCCAAAGCATCCATTTTCTCCATGGGGAACTGATCTCTGTAGGCTGGAGATAAGCTGTAACTCCAGGGGATCCCCAGGTCCCCCCTGGAGGCTGGCATCCCAAAAAAGCATTTCAATTTTCAAAACTCATGCACCACCTTTCCCCAGTCGGCTTCCTTGCCCCATGGCTGTCCACGAGAGGATATATTTACGAGCTTCTCCCCCCCCCACTTAAAAAAAAATCAAAGAATGTGACACACAGCAAAAAAAGGGGGCTCAGTGTGTCTCCTATTAATAGCAGAACCAAGTTTTGCATCAACTCGGCTCCCCTTCAGTCTGAAACCCGACCACCTCCTAAGCTATAAATCACAAGGAGCCTGAGCAGAAAATCACAAAAGTCAACACAAGCTAAAATAAGGCCACTGGGTCTCTGCCTGACCCACAGGTTTGGAAGGAGCACAGTCCGCCAGTCAAGCACCCACACTTCCCACGCTCTCCCTTCTTTCCACGTGGCTTCCTCAGAAGAACTTTTCCGGTGAATCTTTCCCCCGATATTTAACCCGCCAGAAAGCTCTAAGAGCCAGCCCTCGTCTCCTCCGAAGCCGTGAGAAGGCTTGTTCAAAGCGCGACATGAGACGTCCCGTTGCCGCATTTCCACTTTCCCCTTCACATTCATTTCCTGCGAGAACAAAACTCTTGCTTTTCCTCAGTAGGGAAGCGAATGGCCCGAGAGGCATTTCCCCACAAGGGAGGCACAGAGTCTTAAATTTAAAAAAAGGGAACTTTCAGGAAGCCAAGAAGCAGTGCTACTGCAGTCGCACCGTGGAAATAAAAGCCCTGTCCGCCGAAATTCTCACAGGCATTACAAAATGAGGTCTTGCACATTTATACAGAGTGGGAACCACAGAGTTGGAGGGGGACTCCAGGGTCATGTGGTCCAACCCCCTGCACAATGCAGGAAATTCACAAATGCCTACCACCCCAGTGATCCCTGCTCTATGTCCAGAAGAGGGGAGGGGGAACCCCCCAGGATCCCTGGCCAAACTGGCCTGGAGAAAATTGCTTCCTGACCAGTGTTCCCTCCCAGCTGAGTTAGCGTGAGCCAGCTCACAGTGTTTAAGCCTCCGGCTCTCACATTTTTGTCTTGGCTCAGGAAGGAGGGTTCCAGGGCAAACTAATTTATGCAGCAGCCAAATCGCTCACTCACAACTTTATTTATTTATTGAGATTTCTACCCCGCCCTCCCCACGAATGGAACTTTTAATGCCAGTAGCTCGGAAAGGAGAATTTTTGCTCACAAGACTCCACACTTTAGAGGGAGCATTGTTCCTGAATCCTGACCCCAAAGTGACAATCAGAGATCTCATTAGAGCATCAGGTATAGAAATGCTCAGGAGAGAAGGTAGAGTGCTGAAGCCCGATCTTGTCAGGTCTTGGAAGCTAAGCAGGGTCAGTGCTTGGAAGGGAGACTCTGCAGAGGGCTCTGGAGAGGAAGGCCATGGCAAACCACCCTCTGCTTCTCACTTGCCTCGAAAGACCCTTGCCGGGGTTGTCGTTGATGGCACTTTTCACACACACAAAGTCCCTCGTGCACACTCTCCTTTTGCATGAGTGACACAAAGAAGCACACACACCCCCTCCACAGATAACACGAGGGCATGGCGCTGCATGCACACACGCAAGAGGATCCAAGGGCGTCAGCCGCCGTGCATGGAACCCAGCAAACAGGTTGCATTCCCCGGGTGACTCAGAAGCGCTTTCCCACCAGGCAGGCAGGAATTCCATCACTCTCGGCTAGAGGAAGGGCCCTGTACCTCAGCGGCAGAGCACCTGTTCGGCGTGCAGAAGGTCCCAGGTTCAAGCCCCGGCATCTCCACTTAAAAAGACGGCGGGGGGGGGGAGGGGATGGGAAAGGCTCCAACCTGAGACCCTGGTGAGCAGTGTTCCCTCTAAGCTGAGTGAGTGTGAGCTAGCTCACAGTTTTTTCGCCTCCGGCTCACACCTTTTTGTCTTCGCTCAGGAAGGAGAGCTCCGGAGCAAACTGATTTATGCAATAGCCAAATTGCTCGCTCACAACTTTAACTCCGGTAGCTCACAAAGCACAATTTTTGCTCACAAGACTCCACGTTTTAGTGGGAACCTTGCTGGCCAGCCGCTGCCAGCCAAAGCAGACGATGCCGAAAGGCACCTGAACAGCTCAACGCTCGTCCGTGCGCACAAGCGCCACTCCGCATTTCTCCCCGCAGCCAAAGCCTACCTTCCCGGGGATGTCCCGCGGGCACCGGCGAGGAGTCCTGCAGGGAGACGCAAGCGACCACCCCGACGCACAGCCAGACGGCCAAGTGGCGCATGGCTTTCGCGCAGCAACCGGGCTCTCTCTCTCTCTCGTCTTTGTTCGGCTCCTTTCTCCACCCGGGCGGGCCCCGCTCCAAGCGCAGGATGCCGGGCGGGCCGATGGGGACGCCTGCAAGTTGTAGAAGGGGAAGGCGGCACGCGGAGAGGCGAGCCAAGAGGGGGCAGAAGCAGCAGCCAGCTGAGCCGCGGCGAGCGCTCCTCCGCAGGCAGTCCGTGCAAGCCGGCGCCGGTGCCAGCGGCGCTTTTTCTAAGCGGGCGAGGGGGGAGCGTCACCTGACCCATGGCCAGATGGGGCCGGGACGCTCTCCGCGCGGGCTCCGCGCCGCTGATTGGTCACGCCTCCCTGACGTGCCGCGAAAGTCGGCCAAAAAGTCTGAATGAACGCGCGACACACCCACCGCCCGGCAAGGGGAGGGAGGGAGACTGGCAAAGGCGGCAGGCGGGGAGGCCACGCGGGGAGGAGAAAGGGAAGGGGGGCTGGCCTGGCCTGGGAAATCCCCGGGCCCCGGGGGTGCAAGCGCCCAGCTGGGGAGGGCAGGAAAAGTATACTAGGGACCAGTGTTCCCTCTAAGCTGAGTTAGTGTGAGCTAGCTCACAGTTTTTTAGCCTCTGGCTCACACATTTTTGTCCTAGCTCAGGAAGGGTGGCTCCAGTGCAAACTAATTTATGCAGTACCCAAATTGCTCGCTCCCAACCTTAATGCCAGTAGCTCACAAAGTAGAATTTTTGCTCACAAGACTCTACAGCTTAGAGGGAACATTGCTAGGGACCAATGCTCCCTCTAAGCTATGGAGTCTTGTGAGCCAAAATTCTACTTTGTGAGCTGCTGGCATTAAAGCTGTGAGCGAGCGATTCGGCTGCTGTATAAATGAGTTTGCTTGGGAGCCCTCTTTCCTGAGCTGAGACAAAAAGGTGTGAGCCGGAGGCTAAAAAACTGTGAGCTAGCTCACACTAACTCAGCTTAGAGGGAAGACTGCAGGACCCTGGGAAGTCCAG